GAACTGTATCGCAAACTCTTGCTTCACAGATGATCCCAGGAAAAACAGAATCAAGTTAATGGATAGAACAGTTTAGAAGATTTGGATAAAAACAGTTCATAATCACAGTTATGGATAAAAACCCAACATTGACAAAACCACGATTTCCAGTAAATAGTAACTGACTCATGATGTGAGACTTGCTTGTTCTGCAGACTTTTCTGTTTAATAGAATTTGTTGAAATCAAATTAGCAAAGCCCTAATTATCATGGGCCATTTGCCATGATATAAGAATAGTTTTGCTAAGCAAAACTCTAATATATTAAAGTGGCTTCATTAGTAAGATTTTACCTGTAGTAATCAGAAGTAACTAACTAAACCAAGAAAATCTAAGAGAATCCAAGCATTCGTATCATAAGCAATCTTTTAAGCAGAAAATATAAAGATCCCAGAAAGTACACAAATAATTTACCTCACATACTCATCAAAATTAACTCTCAAATTTTAGATAGCTAAATATTTTCAAGATTTTGGCCTTTTCAAGATTGTCATTCAAAAATATATTCACCATTGTTCTATGAGATTAAAGTATGATAAAGTAACTTCTTATCCTTAAGGAATTTCTATTTTAGGTGGTAGAAATACTTTTGTGAGAAATCACAGAACATTATAACAAAACCAAAGTACCTGTTAAGTTGCACTCCATGTTGTTTGACATTCCATCAATATTTGGAAGAATATATCCAATGTCAGGGACAATGATAGCATCCATGAATATAAGAGTTAAGATTCTGAATTTAATTTTCCTAGCTGTTTTGGCACTGTGATTTAGTCACTGCATTTTATCCCGATTAAGCAACTGGCACTCATTTTACAAAATTGCAAGAAAAGAACGTCACTATGGGTCTTGGAGATGAACTCATTGATTTTGGCATGCATCAACAATACTCCAAAGATAGTATACTATCAACACTCATTTTCAGTCCTTTTACTTGTTCCAATGGTAGGTAGCATGTTTTATCACATAATTTGTTTTAAAGACTGAAACCTTCTCCGTTAAACATACAGGACTGTGAACCGTTCTCTGGTAAAGTACATGTTCTATTAATCATGCTGGAAAAAGTTCAATAGGTGTTTTTAACTTAGTGTACAGGTTTTTCTTTCTTTTTTTTTTTTCAACTATCTGCTTCCAGGAGGTTAAGTATGGTAAATCTAATTATTCCAGAAAGGGCTACTCCCCCTCATTTGAATTCCATTCAAGTGTAGTCAACAAAAGAAAGAGTGGTTTAAGCAGTCTTAACTTTTTTTTTTTTTTTTTTTGCGGTAAGCGGGTCTCTCACTGCTGTGGCCTCTCCCACCGTGGAGCACAGGCCCAGCCGCTCCGTGGCACGTGGGATCCCCCTGGACCAGGGCATGAACCCGCGCCCCCTGCATCGGCAGGCAGACCCCCAACCACTGTGCCACCAGGGGAGCCCTTAACTTTTTTTTTAATATAAATTTATTTTTTATTTTATTTATTTTTGGCTGCGTTGGGTCTTCGTTACTGGGCGCGGGCTTTCTCTAGTTGTGGCGAGGCGGGGCTGCTCTTCTTTGCAGTGCGCGGGCTTCTCACTGCAGTGGCTTCTTTTGTTGTGAAGCATGGGCTCTAGGCACGTGGGCTCAGTAGTTGTGGCTTGCTGGCTCTAGAGTGCAGGCTCACTAGTTGTGGCGCACGGGCTTAGTTGCTCTGCAGCATGTGGGATCTTCCCGGACCAGGGCTCGAACCTGTGTCCCCTGCACTGGCAGGGGGATTCTTAACCACTGCACCACCAGGGAAGCCCAGTCTTAACTTTTTGAAAACTTATTTTTAGAAGAACTAGCAAAACGTATTCAAAGTAGTAATGGTTGTTTTACTAACTTTATTTTTACACTGCTCTATGGTTCTTTGTAACTAAGTCCTTAAAGTTAGGATGTTTTTAATTAGTGAGAAATGGACACAACAAATACTTTAAAGAGGTCAAAAGTAAAATGAAATTGGCATTTAATATGACAGTAAAGACAGAGTGATTTGGTAATCAAGAAGCACAACTATTTAAAACAGATATAAGGGCCTTTTGTTAAAAAAGAAAGTCAAATTTTAGTTAAGTTTTGTTTTTGTCACCATGTAGACTTTCCCTATCACTTTGCTATAACACAAAGAACTCACTGGGGGGATTCTCTGCTGGTGCAGTGGTTAAGAATCCGCCTGCCAATGCAGGGGACACGGGTTTGAGCCCTGGTCTGGGAAGATCCCACATGCCGCGGAGCAACTAAGCCCGTGCGCCACAACTAGTGAGCCTGTGCTCTAGAGCCTGCAAGCCACAACTACTGAGCCTGCGTGTCACAACTACTGAAGCCCGCGCACCTAGAGCCCGTGCTCCAGAACAAGAGAGGCCACCGCAATGAGAAGCCTGCGCACTGCAATGAACAGTAGCCCCCACTCGCTGCAACTAGAGAAAGTCTGGGCACAGCAACGAAGACCCAATGCAGCCAAAAATAAATAAATAAAATAAATAAATTTATTTTAAAAAAAGAACAAAGAACTCATTGGGAAAGCTTTATTCATTCAGAATGATCAATAAGAAGTGTGCTTCCAGTTACTTGAAATTGATATAAAAATTTGAATTCAAATACTATTTTAAATATAGATTCCTTTGGATTTTTTCTAGTGAATATGGAAATGATTTCTGGTTAAAATATCTCTTTTTAAACAGGTTGAAAATTTGTTCAAGTTATAGTTATGTGTCTTAAAATTGTTAATTTTACTAAAAAAAAAGGATAGACAAACAACCTACACTCTTTCTAGGAGACACTACAAAATGAAAAAAACTTTAGTTCAGCTTCTTTCCAAATTATGTTTTCTAGGGTAATAGAATCTTATTGCTTTTTAAAAAGTACATGAAACAAACAAGAGATCCATTTAACAGGAAGACTTTGAGACGTTTAAATTCTCTGTCACTAGCTTGGAATAACAGCAATCAAAAGACTGAAAACCCAATCTGGATATTGTGTAGTTTATGCCGTATAAGTATACTTTTAGAATTTTGAGCTTAAATACAGATGCTTTTTTTCTATTGTGATAATGTTTAGTCACATTGTGTTTACCTCAGGGTGACAGGTATGACTGGTAAAGGGCACAAGGGGACCTTCTGGGGCACTGAAAATGCTGTATATTTTAATCTAGTGGTGGTAACACGAGTGTATGTAAAATTTCACCTAGCTGTATACTTAAGCTTTATGTACTTCATGTTATATGTTATACTTCAAGAAAAAAGTAAAAAGAGTATTTAGCTACTTTATGAAATGCCCACCAATTATTTTACGATGAGTCATTAATATGACTTTGTTAGTCAAAAATGCATAGGGGAAAAACAAATTATCTGATACTCATGGCCTAAGGACTGCTAGTCACTCTGAGGTAAGTTAACTATATCTGAAGCTAGAGCAAAGCTTTAGTGATGAGATGTCGCTGGTAGTGTATCAGAAATTGTGTCAGGAAGAATACAATGTATCAGCTTAACTATGAAGGACTGAAGTGTTATAAGTTTAAACAACAACTAGAAGATCAGAACATTTTCAAATAAGTGACATGACTGGCATGTTTATTTGATTTATGATTACCCATGCTTTTTACTTACTGCTTCTTAATGTTTGGGTTTTTGTCATTGTATTGCTTGGACTTCCAAATGATGGGGAATTAAAGTTAAATTAGTTTTGTTGCCTATTCTGAACTGTTGTTTTTAGTGTGGTAAAAAGCTGAAGTTATGACTGTGCTTTTAAAATTATGCATTCTACTTCCTAGCTATTATGGGAGAAAAGAGTTGGTTTATGCAGGGAATATAAACACTTAATCTGCCTCAAATGTTTTTTTACTTTTGCTCAGAACTATGTTAATTCTCATCACCTCCAAAAGCCTTTGAGAGGATTAGCTGCATAGACCAATATTGTTCTATATTAGTCAGTATTAAGCATATGATGTCACCTTGTTTCCTCTCCTCCTCAAGATTTTTTTTTTTTTGCGGGGAGGGCGGGGGAATTGTTTTTTTTTTGGAAATTCTCAAAATACTGTGGCTTAAATACCACTAGCTGGCACACATGATTGACAACCTTACACTCCCAAACCTGTTTGAAATGGGTTAAATACCTAAGTGCTGCAGAACAATGCAAACCAACCAGCAATTCCTCATAAAAGAGAAAGGGGGTGTGATTAGGTTCCAGCTATTAAGCAAGTTATTGAAAAAACAGTTTGGTGGTTTGTTTCTGCAATAGGCGCAGGTTAAGCTAGTATTTTCTCTCTTAATTAGCTCAAAAAAAAAAAAAAGACTAGTCTATAAGAGGTAGGATAAATAGCCAAAACAAAACATGAGCAACTGGGGCAAACACACTCGGGGCTTTACGGAGGTCTTTATACTGATCCTCGACATTGGTTATTGCTTATTAACCCCGCCGGAGAACTATCGAACGGAATCTGTGTGAGGCTTATCGAGCCCGGGGAAAGGAGATGCAGGAGAGAATAAAGCTTCTAATAAAAGAAACGCAGCAACAATAGCAGAGGAACAGCTCTGCCTGGTGACGTAATGGCTGGCAGCAGTCCAGCTTCAGCAGAGCTGCTGCTACCTCAGCATCCAACCTCTCTCAACACAGTCCAGCTTCAGCAGAGCTACCGGGGCTGCTACTTTTTGCGATGCCACTTTGTCGGTGGCACCGACACCTTCCCTTAGAGGGCCAGGACGCTGAACAAAGGCTGGTCCTGCTGTTTCAAGTTGTCGGAACACACACTCTCGCTCACACCCCGCAAGCCCCTCAGTAGCCGAGCCGATCGGCTGCTTAAGTTTAGGACAAGAACCCTGGCGCACACATCATGCGTGCCTCGGTTTCCCCCGGGCTGCTCTCGGGTCCGCCTCTCGCGGTTCGCACCCACCCCCCACCGGTCCTCAGCCCGAGTTGAACTCGGCGGCCCCGCTCTCCCGCCCGGCCCCGCGTGCTGGTCCTCCCGCCTTACCTCCGCTAGGTAGAGGTTGAGGAGACAGAGCGTGGAGAACTGGAGACAGGAAGGGAAGCAGTAGAGCAGCCAGTGGGGGAAGAAGTGCAGGTGAGCGGGCGGCCGGAGCAGGGGCAGGGAGCCGCTGAGCGAGAAGGCGGCGGAGAAGAGGGTGGTCCTGAGCGCTGCCCACAGGAGACAGAGGAAGAGGCAGAGGCTCTGGTAACTCAGCCGCCGCTCACGGTACAGGAGCAGCCGCCACAGCTGCAGGTAGGCAAAGGCGAAGAGCGCGGCGTAGAGCAGGGCGTGCAGGATGCTCAGCGCCAACTGCACGGAGCCCGGCACCACGGCGCCTCCGCCGCCCCCGCCGGGCGTGGAGGGCTCGCGGCCGGCCGCCGGACCCGGCACGGACGCCCTCATGAGGGGGCTAGGGGGCGGGCGAAAGAGCGCGGGAAGCAAGGGGCCGGACTCGGAGCCGCTGTCGAGGGGGAGAAGGATGTCTCCCTGGCCCCCCACCCACCCCAACCTCCAACCCCAGGAAGCGCCGTGACAGGACCCGGAGCCCCGCGGAGAGCAGCCGCGGCTCCTGGGACCCCGCCTCCTCTCCCCGCCCCCCCCCCGGGGGGTCTCGGCTCCTCCTGCTGCGCTCGGCTCAGTAGCTGCAAAAAACAACTCTCGGCTGGAGACAATCAGCTGAGAAACCCGAGCATTTGAGGTGCTCGCTCCGCACCGTGGGCTCCCGCCGATTGGCCCAAGCGGGCTCGCCCCCTGCGCGCCGCGCTCGGAAGGCCACAGGCCGCTGGACCTGTCGCTCCAGGAGGCCAAGCTCTGATTGGGTGCCCGCTTTCCCCTCTTGCTCCTCCCCTTCACTCCCCACCCATGCTGCCGATTGGCCCAGCAACTGCACGGCCAGCTCGCGCCTGCGGGCGGGCTCGGTTGTCGCCTGTCAGCGGGGCGGCTGTCGCTCCGCCCCCTGCGCTTCCCATTGGCTGGAAAGGCTGCACGTACGACCCACGAGGACCGGGAGGAGCCTCGCGGTTGTTTTTTGCCCAGCAGGCCGACTCCACCGAGCGGTGGAGGCTGCTGGTGCGGAGGGTTGGGAGTGCTGCGAACCCGCAGGTAGGGGGAGCGGTTCGCGGATGCCCGGCAAGCGAGGCATGGGCCCGCCTTCTGCCTCTCATCCTTCTTGTGGCGGGAACTGTCGGTCAGCCGTCCGGGTCCCAGCCCGCAGGTCTTGTCCTCAGGTCTGGATAGGTAGGTGGCAGCGCGGGTCCTGCAGGCGAGGGCTGTGGTTTCTGACGGCAGGGATGCCTGCAGGGATTCAGACCTGGCGGCTCTCCCCCAGCAAGGACAGCACTGCCCAGCTCTGGAGTTTGGCTTAGAAGGGGCCTCACCTGGATCCTTTTAAGGGACGTTTTGCTTTCTTTTTTTTCCCTAGCGTGAGCAGGTAGTAAAACGGGAGCCCTTCTGTGGGGAGAGGGCAAGGAATGAGGCGAAGGCTGAACGGAAGCTCTAAGTAAAACAACCTCCCTCCCTCGGGATATGTCCCAGAAAGAAGAGCGGAATTAGAATGGGATGGATATGGAAGCCGTCTCAGGGTGGGGGGAAGGTGGGTCTTTGAAACTTAGAATTTGGAAAGATGCTGTGGGCATAAGTTTAGGCAAAACGGCAGAATCAGAATTTTAAGTCTTTGATGAATGTTTAGAGAGGAAAAGGTAGAATAGCCTGTGCTTCTTAAATTCCACATGTATTCCTTCAAGCCTTAGTCCCCTGTGTGGTGGATGGTGGCGCTATTTCTAGGGCTCAGAGATATACAAAACACATGCTATATTATGTTACTGCTGTAAATAAATGAGGAATAAATAGATCTTTCCACGTATATTGGACTGAGATAATATTTGTTGACTTTTTTGGGGGGTGTTTGGTAATAAATTGAGCAAATTAGTGCAAAATGGTGAGGGAGTAATTTGTGTTCCCCTTAGGATGGGTGGCATATCGCTAAATAAGTATGCCTGTGAAAGACCGTGCTACATTTATTGGTGCAGCTAAGACTCAGCCTCTCCTAACTCACCATTCTAAGAAGAATGTTGCTACTTTCTTTCCTAGCTAAGTGATCCACAGAGAAGGTAAAAATCTCTTGTGCTCTAGATTGTGGGACAGTAGTTTCCCCAGGCACCAGATACTGGTGTGTTTTGGATTCTTTGTAGGTGTGCTGACAAACTGTGATAGATGTTTAGGCCTGCACTGTTATGTGGAGATCCCTCTGATGAAACATTCAGCTGAGCAGGTTGTGCTGTGCAGCCTACAGTAGGGTACAACTTGCTGTAAGAAGTTAACAGTCCTAATCCAACATCAGCGCTCTAAAGAAGGATCTCAGCTTTATTGGAATTGAAGACATTTGCCTCATGGATTCCTAGGGAATGTGGTTAGGGCAGTACACAGTTCTATTTGAAAGGGGACAGAGTGCTCCGGGCCCCAGTGAGATAACTGATTGCAGTTATGTGCTTAAGCCCATAAATTAAGCATGAACTCAGAGTTGTGCTTTTAGGCACTTGTCAAAATCAGGAAAGCCTCTTATTCTCTGGCATGGCCTATTTTTGTATCTTCTATAATCAATGAATCAGGTCATGAGTAGATTTTCACCATGAAGGGGTTTTTCTTTTTTTTCCCTGTATTCTCTACTCAAAGTGAGAGTAAACGACATTTGGATAGCACCCATACTAGTTTTACATCTTTGTTTGTGAGACTTTTTATTCCAGTGTCATAGCAAATCGGAATATCCGCTTTTTTTTCCCTTCCTTTTTTGGGGGCATATATATGGGGGGTGCAGGTAGAAGATTTTGCCCCACTCCCTTGAGGGAACTCTTAAGTGGAGAGATGTTGACTCCTTTTATTGCCTCCTTTGGGTCTTAAGTGTTAAACTGTGATGAGATCTAATCAACATTTTATTTGAGTCAGGTTCAGTGAGAAGGTTCTGTTCTCTAAAAGCGGCATTAAACTGTAAGCAAGCTAATTTTTGACAGAATGTACCTACAGGAACTTTGTAAGCATTATATGCCCCATTTGTTGCAGAATATGAAATGTGGCATTTCCCAGAGAATGATGCCTGTAGATCTTGGTGTAATTTGTTTAATGTTTACAGTTGTTAATTTCCTCTCTTTCTTGAGAGGGGAAACCATTAGTTTTATGTTTAATCATAAGGGAAATTTAGGCCTTTAAAGGGGAAACTATCCAAGGGTCTTCTAGAAAAGCTTGCTCCTGGGTAACCTAAAATTGGAAATATGTCCAAATACACAATGGTTGAATATTGTTGTTTTGAGAGAGCAGATTACTCTAGCACAATGTTCTTTCAAACATTTAAAAGCAGAACCATTTGCCAAGTGTTTTTATATGTAGGACCCAATCCCAAAGTGTGATTGCTGTAGCTGAAGAGGGCCACCAGTTGCTCCACCTACGCAGAAAGGCAAATCTTTGCCCCCTCCTCTCACTAGCAAGATGATCAGTGTTTTTCTCTTGAAGTACTTCCTCGTCATTGCCCTTGGGGGCTTTCTCAGAATTCTGGTGCTGAGCAAAACAAACTTTTGTTGCCTTTAACTTTTTATGTGCAAGCTTTAGCCCTTTTTGTACTATAGCCTTGCTCATCCATTCTTACAGTGCTTGTCATCCTCCTGTATTTGTCCTTAGTTAAATGTCACATATTTTTTCCAACTTTTAAATGACATGTGCATGCATACTTGTTTAGAGTTTAGGGATCAGGCAAAAGTTACATCCTGCCTACTGACTCTGATTAGTTCCACCAGGAGCGTTATACTGAGGAACTGAGGGCTCCTTCCAGCCCCAAAGGTTAAGAGTCTGCACTTAGTTGTGAGGTGTCTGTGTGTAGGATACGCAAACATTCGCCTATGACTTCCATTTTCTTTTTGTGTTGGCACTGGTTGTGGTAACAGTTGTATTTTAAAGAGTCATCTTCCCTTTTAGAATCTTTCTAAAGTGAAATTAGGTCAATTTCTTGTGAATTCTTTGAAATACACTGCTTTAAAAATCTAGGATATGTATTTATGTTCAAGTCACTCTCCTCTTAGCTGTTACTAAAACAAATAGGGCTAGGTTGGGTTATACTGTAATAACAACCCTAAATCTTCAGAGATTTAAAGTAAAGTTTATTTTATGTTAACACTGAGTTGGCTGGGAACCTTGCCCCATGTTGTCCTCTTTCTGAGACTTGGTTCAACAGAGAAGACCTCGGTTTGAGTGTTTTCAATCATCATAGCAGAGAAAAAAGTGTGTCATGCTTCATGATACATATATGTTAACTCTTAAAAGCTTCCAGAAGTTACATATGTCACTTTTCACATTTCATTGGCCAAATCAAGTCATGGGCATACCTAACTCAAGGAAGTGGGGAGTAGAATTTTAACGTGTGTAGAGAACTAGAAACATTTGGACAGTCTACCCTTTGATATTCTCCTTCCTACATATACTTCATCCTTGGCTCTTCTCAGTGGAGATATTCCCTAAATCCCATCCAGTCACTGTCAAGCTCAAAGTCTGGGAACTCTGAGTAGTGCCCAGTAGCCATAATCTCTTGTAGTCTCTATCTTTATAAATTATCTGTCTCCGTTACCCTGTTGAATACATAGAGTAGTGTAGGGACAGATAACTATAATAAGTGTTCCCATTTGGAGAGGAGAAGAATGGAAGACATATACCAGACTCTGGACTGTAGCAATTTTGGAATCTTGCTGGGCAGATATTGCTAGGGCTCTAAATTATAAGAAAAATGAAATGAAAAAACACATCAAATGACTAGCCCAATTTAAAAATAATTAGATGCAACAGACACAATATTACTGTGTGAAATTGCTATAAAAGCTTCTAAACATTTATGTGCATTTTCTGTGTTTATCTCATTATTGTGGACCAGTGACATACAGTTCATATTCTAGCACATGCCCTGGAGCATAGTTCTCTATGGTCCTTGGCTTTGCCCTGCAAGAGATCCTTCCATTTTTATTACCTTTGTCCCCACCTGAAGTTGGCTTTGGAGAATGTGGCTTCTTTCCATGGCTGAGCAGTTTTGTCAGCTTGTTTCCGGACCCTACAAGCATGGGGGCTTAAGGATTGTTTTAAGTTTTGAACAGCTAGTCTTTTGGATGGTGGTGCTTCTTTGAGTACCTTTCTTTTAATGCCTCGTTAAACACAGTCAACAGCAACTATCACACAGTACTCATTTCTGTCTTCCAGCCTCTTCTCTTAGGGCCATAAATAAGTTCTTTAGCCACATGAACCTAGCTACATGCTCATAAATTCATTAGGTACTTGTCACCTCCAACTTACTGTAGCGACAGTTTCATCAAATGTTTTGTTATTCCTTAACATGGATCATTTGTTGAGGCCTTGTCTCTATGTTTCTTTGAGGAGAGTTTCCTTGAGTACTCCCAGAACAGCTTTCCTGCTGCTTGGCGCCTGAGCGAGTATGTGGGGTTCTTGTTAAGGTAGCACCTCACTTCTAGTTTGTACACCAGTGAAGATAAACTAGATTATGCTACAATAAAAACCCCCCAATCTCAGTGGCTTAAGACAACGAAGTTTATTTCTTCCTATATCATATGCTCATTGCATACCAGCTGGGGGTTCTCTGGACTGTGCTTAATCTGGGAGCCATGCTGACAAACAGCCACCATCTGAGTGTTTTCAGTGACTATGACAGAAGAAAAGAAAGGCAGGCCTATCACACAGTAGCTGTTAAACCGTTGCCTGAGACAGGCCACTTTGGCTCCCATTTTATTGGCCAGGGTAAGTCACGTGGTGGCCTCAAACTTCAGTAGTGGTGGGAAGTGCAGAAAGCTAAGTGTGATCCTAGGTATACCTGACAGGAGAACTGGAACTGTTTACCCCATACTGATGAACCATCACACCAAGGTAACAAGGCCACATTCCTCCCAAGGAACTCAGCACTTTGTGGTGACACTTAAATTTTGAAGCATTAAGTGTTGTTCTCTATCCCATTTTCTAACTACCAGAGAAAAAAGTCACCAAGTACCCTCTGTAGCTTTGTTTTTAACTCTGTTCTTACTAAGGTGTTCTCTTTCCTCACTATTTCCCATCCACACTTGCCTTCTCTTTGTTTAAAGTTATTTTTATGAGGAGACCATGTCTCTGGGCAAAAGCATTTCAATTACCATGCATGTGAAATGAACATTTTTTAGTGACACCACAGGGGTAGATTGGATTAATATGAGTAGTAGCTATGGAAGATTTGATTACATACAAGTAATATTTTTTCTTTCTAAGTCAAAGTGAAAAGGTACACTGTTTAAAAGAGTCAGTTCTAGAAGGCTTCAAAATTCCCCTTGGTATCTTACCCCCTCCAATTTCTTGTTCCTCAGAGGCAATTACTTTGAACCACTCACAGTTTCTTTTGGTGTTGATCTTTCCATTTCCAATAAACTTGGCTTTTGGTCTCGTGAAAAATGAAGATTTAGCTCTCTTTCATCCCTTTTCCCACCCTGAGTGTATGCTCCCTTTCTTTCTGTCTCCCCATCCACTCAACTCTGGTTGTTACGGATCTGGTTAAATCATCATTCAGTGTGTATCTTATGACCATGTAAGCTGTGTTTCTAGCTGACCCACACAGTATTCTCTGCTTTAAGTAATTTTTTAAATAATCAAACTTACCAAAAGATGGAGAAAACTGCAAAAGTTACTACTGAGCACCTATCTCTGAATAATCACCCACATCTCTAATTGGCGAAATGCATAGTACGTTCATATGGATAATCTAATCTGTCCAATGAGGTAGGTGTGGGGAAGTATTCAAGCATTGAATGTGTGTGGTTAGACCTTTGGTTCTACCAAATACATTCTACGTGAAAAGAGTATGTTAACTTTAGTATCCAATTTAGTGTTTAAATGACTGAATTGTAACCACAGGGCCAGGAAAAAAGATATTTATACTTGAATTTCTCATTTGTGCTTTTACTTAAATGTTTAACCTTTTAATTAGGTTGGAGGTATTTCATACAGTAACAAGTGTTATATTCTTTCGGCCTCAGGATGCATGCATCTCTCCCTCAGAATATAAGGAAAATATTGGATGACTCATTTTATACCATTTTCATTAATATAAAGTGGCTTTAAAATATGCTGGTTTAAAATGGCTTTAATGTATAATATTTTAATGTCAAGGATACCTCTTAATTATATTATTAAAATTACTTTTTATATACCTCTCTCAGTCCTCACTCCTCATTTTCCTTGAGTTTTTGAACTCTTGGCCCATTATTAAAAGTTGATGGCAAATTTGTTCACTGCTTGATATAAACTAGTTCTAGTGAAAAGAATTATTAGGAAGTAATCAATAAGTAATTAGCTCCTGTTTTAGGAATACCTTATTGATAGTATCGAAAGACCAGAGTATATGGAGTTTCAGTTTATCAATTCTATTGTACAATAAATTGAAGAGTAAATTTTTTCTCATTACCCCTGAAATGCTAAATTGAAGAGTTAATGGTCTTTCATGACCATTGAAATGGTAGGTGTCTAATTTAGTATGATTTTTTCCTAAATTTTTTATTCTTTAATCATTTCTTTACTGAAAAGTTCCACTCCTATCCTTATGAGTAATTCTTGCTATTTTCTCCTGTCTTCTGTTTTGACATAGTGATCTTTGTTTAAAAGATAAGGGTTTGGGCTTCCCTGGTGGCGCAGTGGTTGAGAGTCCGCCTGCCGATGCAGGGGACACGGGTTCGTGCCCTGGTCCGGTAAGATCCCACATGCCGCGGAGTGGCTGGGCCCGTGAGCCATGGCTGCTGAGCCTGTACGTCTGGAGCCTGTGCTCCACAACGGGGAGAGGCCACAACAGTGAGAGGCCCGCGTACAGCAAAAAAAAAAAAAGATAAGGGTTCTATTTGAAATTAAAACAAAATTCTCACCTATACCTGTGGGTATATCTTTACCTTCTAGAAGTGCAATGTTTAATATAAAAACTAATTTTCCTAAACTATCTTCTTTTAAATGTAGATAATATATATCATCAGTAGAAAAGCTTCCTGAAAGAAGAAATTGTTCAAAAGAAATTTGAAAGTAGCAAAAGTATAAGACAAAGTTAATTGACAGCAGATACAGAGGACAGCATGGGAGTAAGTACAGCATGAAAGAAGATGAGAGGATAATATCTAGAGCATATCTGAGTTCAGAAAATAGAATTGAATTAAAATATGAGTTGAAAAAGATATTTGAATTTCTAAGCTGTTTAAATAAATCTAAGTCTTAGGAATTACTAAATGTATATTAAGAAGGAATGTTCTTAAATAGTTTTAATAGATATCTTCTAGGGGAGTTAAAGTAAAAAGAATGTAAACGTAGTAGACATATATTTTGGCTCTCATTCCCACGTTAGTGGTTTTAATGGCTATTTGAGTATTAATTGTACATGTACTCTAGGTAGAGAAAGATAAAATACCCAGTTTAAAAAAAATGGATTGGATAATGTTTGAAAATTAATTTTAGAATCCTTAAAAATGACAGCTTAGCATACACCATAAATATCTATTAAACTTAACATACTTAGTATTGCATTGTCCAGATATCTTTGATATCTTTTGCAAGTATCAAAAATTCATAGTATTATTAAATCAATGTCATTATATATCATCCCCTCTCATGTTTTTACTAGAAGGAAATAGTAAAGTATTAGTAAAATCAAACATGGAAGTAATGCCTTATATTATTCTTTTTGCAGATTTTACTTCATTCATTTATTTAATGAATTCATTCAGAAAGACTCTGTTGAACGCCTGCTCTTGCCAGGTATTGTCCTGGGCAACAGAACACAGTGGTGAACAAAATTGACTCTCCTGCCCATATGCAGCCACAGCTGATGATGTCTTCCAGTTTCAGTGTACTTAGAGTTGGCATCTCTTTTGTCATGATGTGCATTTTTTATATGTCAGCAGTAGACTCTCTACCAGAGCTGAGTCCTCAGAAATTCTTCAGTACATTGCAACCAGGAAAAACTACCTTAGCTTATTTTTGTCAAGCTGGTAAGTATTTTTTATATTCTAATATGATTTTTGTGATGTTTCTATTGCTGTTTAATCAATATGCTAGGAAGAACTTATTATCAGGATTAATAATATGTGCTTTAACGCTGCTACTATAATATGCCTGCCTGGGTTTCAATCCTGACTTTGCCACTTTACCTGCTGTGTGACCTTGGTTGAGTCACGTGTCTTTTTTGTCATCCATAATGAGGAAATAGTGTGTGCTTTATAAATTTATTGTGAGGATTAAGTGACTTTACTCATGTGCTTAGTCCATAATAAATACTAGATAAAAATTAGCTGTTAATAATGTCTGAATTTCATCATCATTTCTGAAAGTAAACTTTTGGATATTTTTAGCATGTAAATATTTTAAAAGTGTTTTCAAACTTTAAATATAGTATTAGTAATGCCTTAGTTTAATACTCTGCTTTAGCTGTACCATTAATTATACTGAATTAATTAATATAACTATTGAACATATCATTATCATGGTTCCATTTAAGTTTTTTTGTGCCTTAAAAAATACTATTCTTGGAATTAGTAAATGAAGTGAATTCATATTTTTGGTATTTTAAAATCATTTTGAAAATTTTGTACATGTGTGTTGTGTATATAGTATTAAACTTGGAAAAGTAATGCCAAATGTGCCATTTAAATTAAACATTTATTTATCCAATTTATGTTTAGAAAGCTTTTAAGGTCACTTACAAAGTGAAAATATGTCATGATAAAAATATTAGAAATAAGAGTAATGAGGCAATAGGAAATAAGGGTACAAAAATATGTAACTAGGTTCATTTAGTTACTTGATTATTTGTTGTTGCATACTAGTTGGGCAAACTAATATATTTCTTTTTCAGTTTGCAGCTTTGGGCTTTAATTTTAAAAATTCATCTTTCCTAAGGGGCAAGTCATAAAACATTCATAAAACATTTCTTATTTTAGATTTTCCAAGTACCTCTGTATTTCTTGAAGAACTGAATGAGGCTGATAAACCTCTCCAGGACTATGGAATTTCAGTCACAAAGGTAGAAAGATATTTATGTTAATAAATTACTAGTGGCAAACATTTTACAACTGTGTGACCTAAGACTGAGTATCTAAAAATACTACGTTGTTTCACATCTTTTTCCAAACTGGAAAAATATTTTTTCTACCTTGTTTTTCATAAGAATAAACAGGAGTATAGATAATTCCAGATTATTGTATAAATTATAAATACAGGGGAAAAAAAGCTACTTAAAATTCTGGAGCTTAGAACTTTATTTTGTAAACCATTCTATTGGGGCTATGGTGTCATTTATTTTTTCAATCTTCTATTTAAGTTTTTTTTTTTTTTTTTTTTTTTTTTTTTGGTACGCGGGCCTCTCACTGTTGTGGCCTCTCCCGTTGCGGAGCACAGGCTCCGGACGCGCAGGCTCAGTGGCCATGGCTCACGGGCCCAGCCGCTCCGCGGCATGTGGGATCTTCCCGGAACGGGGCACAAACCCGTGTCTCCTGCATCGGCAGGCAGACTCTCAACCACTGCGCCACCGGGGAAGCCCTTAAGTTTTTTTTTCTTTTTGCCTGACAAATATATCATAATAAATGTCCATAATTTAGCTATTAAAATTTTTCTATTAACACAAACTGAGGTACCAAAATTGAAGTAATTCAAGTGTTTTTTTTTTTCTTTCCTATTCTTCTAAGTCTTTATAATTGCTTATGTTGTGGGTTCTCATATTTATTTTTAGAAAAAAGTTAAAACAACCTAATTTGGGACTTCCCTGGTGGCGCAGTGGTTGAGAGTCCGCTTGCCAACGCAGGGGACATGGGTTCGTGCCTCGGTCCAGGAAGATCCCACATGCCACCGAGCGGCTGGGCCCGTGAGACATGGCCGCTGAGCCTGTGCGTCCGGAGCCTGTGCAAAACAACCTAATTTGAAATTACATACTTAAATTTTTTCTCAAAAAGTGTTTGAACTTGCCATGGAGTATTATGGAAAATTTCCACATGCATCATGGTTTAGATAGCTACAGGAGCCTTTCATTTAGTTTAAACTGAGAATTTGTACCTCAGAAAACGGAATGATTAGTAACCCAGTGATTATTAAATTCTTTCAGATTAGTGTCTCCCTGACTTTCTATGTACATTTATTCTTTCTTAGTTCATTAGCCTTCCTCCTTTGAGAGATGGCTACTGTCCCTCTTGGTCCCTGAAGCTAGAGTTCCCAGGGCAGGAAGCATAGAAAAGTTAACTGTGACTTTTAAAGGGAAACTGTTCAGTCTCACCACAGAACAGTTCTGACACTAGATGTGTGTTTTTCATATGAAGCAGTTCTGACACTAACAACCCAGAGTTAGCACAGACCCCACAGGTTAAGGGCCCAGTCCTATGAGATGACCCTCACTTCAGATGTCAGTCACAAGGAGTGAGTGGGTCCCCAGGCTCCCTACGACTTCTGTAGGACTTGGCTCCAAATGGCGGTTCTCACAACCCCCTCCTCAGGTTCCATAATTGCCCATAATGTCTCACAGAACTCAGGGAAAGACTTTACTTACTATTACTGACTTCTTATAAAGGATATGTCAGGAACAGCCAAATGGAAGAGATGTGCGGGGCAACATCTGGAAGAGTCTCAAGTCCAGGAGCTTCTATCCCCGTGTGGTTTGGGCTGTGTCATCCTCCTGTACTTGGATGTGTTCACTGGACGCTCTCCACACCCTGTAGTTTAGGGTTTTTATGGAGGTTGTTATGTAGGCATGATTGGTCAAATCATTGGCCATTGCTGATTAACTCCATCTCCAGCCCTAAGGTGGGGAGGTGGGGCTGAAAGTTCCCACCCTCTGATCTTTCCCTTGTCTTGCTGGTAACCAGCCCCCATCTTGAAGCTGTCTAGGGGCCCCCAGCCACCAGTCATCTCATTAGCATGCAAACAGACACTCTTATCACTCCCAGAGATTCCAAGGGTTTCAGAAGCTCTTATATTTCGGGTTAAAGACCAAATATTAGAAGAAAAGATACTCCTGGCACTCTATCATGCAGGAAATTACAGGGTTTTAGGAGCTCTGTGTTAGGAACAAGGGGCAAAGACCAAATATATATTTCTTATTATATCATGTTTATATACCTCAAAAACCTCTTTTTTAATGTCATTTCTGTTTTGTATAGAGGTCTCAGTTAACTTTGAACCACTGTTTATACTCTGGAATGATAATGGCACTCATCTTTAAGGAGCTTTGAATAAAAATCAAAATTGAAATTTAGAAACAAAATGCTAGGTTGGTACGATACTCAAAAAGGATAATCATGCTGTTATCTAGTAACTAATAAACTAGTAACTAGTAACTGTGTGTCTAGTAACTAGAGTAGAATATTAAGTTTCATGCCCAGGGGTTACCTTTATGAACTAACAGTTTGTAAAGCTTTTACAGTTGAAGACTCTTAAGCTATGTGGAAAGGAGACTGGGTGAAAGAGATAGACCTATATTGAGTACCTAGCTCAGTCCCTGGTGCATAGTAGATACTCAGTACTGTTTATGAGATTGAAATGAGCTTGCTATATTTAGTCTTTTATTGGATAGCAAAATGGCTAAGACCCCAGTCTCTTTCTTTGGAGAGTATATATCCAAAATGGGGCGATAAAACACATTCACAGACTTTTTTCTTTTTTGGCTGCGCTGTGCAGGTTGTAAGAATCTTAGTTCCCCAACCAGGGGTTGAACCTGGGCCCTTGGCAGTGAAAGTGAGGAGTCCCAACCACGGGACCGCCAGGGAATTCCCATAGACCATTTTAATAACTAGCAGAACTTGGTCATTATAATAAGAGATACAAATAAAATGCTGTAGAGGTTTAAAAGAAAGAAATCTTACATGATCATCAAGGTGGAAGGTCATATTATGGTATTGGGAAAGACTTCACAAAAAATAGCATTTTGAGATTGTCTTCAAAAGTTAAGATTTCAGGAGGCAGACATAGATGAAGAAAACACTAAAATATAAATGGACTAAGTGTTCCAGTTAAGAAAAAGATTGTCAGGCTGGGAACAATAACCAAACCTAATTGTAAGCTATTTAGAAATGCATCTTAAGATAAAGGCTTTAGAAATCCTTAAAGCAAATGAAGGAAAAAAAATATATATCATGCAAATAATAACCAAAAGAAAGCTGGTATGACTATATTACTGTATCAATGTAGATTTTAAAACAAAAAACCTTTGTCATCCTTTCTGTCATAACCAATCCATCATTAAGTCCTTCAAGCTCTGCTATCAAAACTTTTCACATCTGACCACTTCCTGTACCTTCACTTTTACCCCCCTGCCCTTGTCTAAACTGTCCTCACTTCTCCTCTGGGAAACCACAAGCCTATTTGGCCTTTCTCCTTTCACTCTTGTCTCACTGAAGAAGCCTTCTCCACATGTAAGTCAGATCACATTGCTGCTCTCTCAGAAAGGCTTCCCATTACAGTTATACTAACATGGGAACTCCTCTTTGGACATTTAATTCCTCTAATCTCATTTTCTGTTCTTCCACCTTGCTCAGCTTGTTCCTGACACATGCTAGTCATCTTTCTCTTACTTGGACATTCTAGGTGTGTATTTCCGTAAGGCCTTTGCAGGTATTTTCTCCTCTGCTTAGAACTCATCTCTTCCACATATTTGTATATTTGTATGCATCACTCCATTACTTCGGTTCTTTGTGCAAATGTCATCTCCTCAGAGAAGTCTTCTTTGATGACTTACCTAAAATGTTCGGTCATGTACTATCCCTTTAATAGTGCTTTTTTCTTTATAGCCCTTAACATTGCATACTAATTAGTTTGCTTTTTTTAATGGTCCGTCTCTACTTTTAGAATGTAAGTTCTAAAGATAAACATTTTAATTTGGAACTTAACTGTACTCCTAGTGACGAGAACAGTGACTAACATATGGTAGGTGTTCAAATGTGTGTTGAGCGGATGAATGGATAAATCTGTCGTCATAATACCAACCATCCCCTATGCTCTGACTTCTAAAAATTAAAAAAAAAAAACTACATACACTAAAATTCACTGTTTTTGGTTATGACCGTACTCTTTTAATTCGAATTCTCTATTCCTCATATCTTTTTTGAGGATCGGTTCTCTTTTAGTAGCTTTTTTCTATAAAACAAATGTAGCTTTCCCACTTGTCACTCTGCTTCCTCAAACTCTGTTAAAATTAACTTGAACAGCAAAAACAAAAAAGCCTCATCTAAAAAAACCCAAAAAAACCCTAACTTAACAAAATCCAAAACAAAATACTAACTGTTCTTCTTCCAGACTTAGTTTTGGTAAGTTATGTCGGTGGCTACCCACTTGCCCCATCTAAAAACCTCTTCATCCTCTTTATCACTTGCCTTCCCCCATCTATCCCATGTTGCATATTACACGCTCAGTCTTCTCCCTGGTTTTACTTACTGTATTTGGGGAAAGTCGCTTGAATCTCTTCTGTCCTTTTCTGCTTTACTACAGGTCCCAGTCATCCCTGACCTGTACTGATGGGATACTCTATTAACTGGCTTCCTTGCCTTTGTGCTCTCATGTCTTCCATCGTATCTCCATGTTGCTGCCAGGATTGGCCTTATGTTTTTCACATAGAGTCCTGATTGTAAGCTATCAAGGGCTGTTGTGGCTTCTCTAACATCATCAGGGACTCAGGTTCATTCTTTCTGTTGCACCATCCTTAGCAAAGGTTTCTTCTTTAAAGATGCCTTATGGTCCATGATGACAGCTGGTGCCTACCTATCTTGTCAGGTTTTTTTTTGTCAGGAAGAAGTGGGAAGAGCAAGAGTATCTATCACTCAACCCCCTTTTAAGATCCTTCTAGGCATCCCAAACCAGTGACTTCTCCTAACATCATTTAGCCAGCCTTAGCTGTTGGGGGAGTCTGGAAAAGTCTTTTAATGGGGCACTTGTTTTTAGTGAAATTCTGTTAGTGACGCAAAAGGGTAGGATGGATTTGGGGTTAGGAGCCAGCAGTATCTGCCATACCTGTGCTCCAGCTACTGAGATGCTTTCGTGGTCCCAACTTAGCACCACTTCTGTGCTTCCTGGCTTTTGCTCATGATTTTCTTGTCCTGCCTTAATTGTTTCCTTCCTTTCCTACCTCGTTACCTTCTACTTCCTTCATCAGATTGAATTAAATCTTAGGTATAATTAAATATAACTCTTAGGTGTAGGAACAGTTCCTTTCTCTGGGTTACCTCAAGCACTTGAATAAGTGAGCAATTATAGCATACAAATCAGAAAGAAAAGTAAAAAAGAAATTTGATCTGGAGACAAACTGTAATGTTTAATTTTCCTTTCTGTTTCCCTAACCAAGAAACTTGACCTTTTGATATGTACTCTAAACGTTAAATATAATCTTTTAAAGGTTAATTGCGTCACAGAAGAAACATCGAGATACTGTGGAAGCGAAAAGAATTTGATGAAAGCATATTTATTCAGGTAAACTATTTTTAGTTTTTTTGGCTCAGATGGACAAACATAAAGCTATACTTCTAGAATATTCAAGTATACAAAATATCACTAGGCCAGAATAAAGGTGTATGTAGTAGGGGTCATATGAAGCTTAGCAAGAAGTCTAACTAATAGATTTGTTACCTCCACTTTGCTTCCTAATCAGTAAATTGAGGAGATTAATACCTACCTCACAGGATTGTTTTGGATATTATATGAGAATCTTACGTAAGCTCTGACGGCAAAGGCCTGGTAAGTAAGCACTTAGCAGATTTAGTGTTCTAAGTAGGTATGTCAGGTCCATATTCGGGTGGGAAATAAATGTACTTTATTTTTGAGGGATCTGCAGATGTCCAGGTTATGGATTCCTCCATTACTTGGGTCTGCTAATCTGAGTTTTCTCAAAATCCTTTCCTCACACTCTTGGGATTTGGCCTAGGAAGTGGGGAGAGATCCTGTCTCCTCAGGGACCTACTGCTGAGGACCCTTCTTTCTGTCTCCTGCTTGTCTCCTTCCCAGCCCATCTGGGGAATCTGTGTGTGCTGGGAGGAAGCCTGGTTGGGACTCCTGTTGCTTCCCAGTCTTTTTGCCAGGCCCAGGGCCTAAGCTTTTCAAAGTCAGTGTATCTATGCCTGTGTGTTCAGTAAATATTGGAGTGTGTATCATGGCCAGCACTCTGGTAGGAATATCGGCTAGTGGATAAGACACAGGCTCCGAGAACTGCCAGAGCTTCCAGCCTAGTGTGTTAGAGACAAGTGAATTGAATGCTAAGGAAATATTTCTGTAATGCTTTTTAAAACTTTTTCAGGGGTCACATATTACTCAGAGAATTCCCAACCGATACCTTGTTCGATGTGGATGCCATCGTTGCTCATGTTCTCTTGTAAGTACAGGGGATACCCATTTACTTACTCACTTGTTATTTATCTGTTGATTTCATTTTAGACAACCACAGTCCATTACAATATTTTAGGGTCTTAGCATTATACTTGTAAGCATCAGTTTCACACATATTGCTGGTCTATCTTCCCACACAGAGGATCTAAAATGTCTTGAATGGCAGAGGATACAGAAACATGGAGATATTCTGTATAAAAGTAGGAGGTGGCACAACACGGCCACCTGGCTCATACTATCGCTCTTGCCTTTGATTCTGTCTGTGGAGTGAGGATGTTACCAGGACAGAAGCTCATCTTTGCTATTCTCACTAGGGTTTTTGAAGTGTCTAGCCTCCTTTTCACCCCAGCCTGATTTTTTTTTTTTTTTTTCCGGAGTCTGTAGCTCCGTTCCTGCTCAGTACGTGCAGAAACATTTCAGGTGTTCCCAGCACGTGCTGAATGTTTATTGAGAGAGAATGAATCTAATTTAACTTGCCTGGCATGGAATCTTTAGGCCTGGGATTCAGCCCTACCTGGGGTCCACTCCTGCAGTCTCTCCTCAAATGAAGTAGTAGTATCTTTGGTAACAGAGCTAGAAGCTACGACTTTTTCAGGACACGAGTTTACAGGGACTTTTCCAATTTAATGTTTGCTGAGACCTTTGCTGACCTTGACTATCTCTGTTTTCTGTGTGGCTCCCATCTTCCTCCTCTTCTTCTACCTGATTCTCGCAAAAATGGTGTGAAAGTTAAGTTACAGGAAACTCTAAACTTGATAGGTGACAAGTTGTGGTTATCACATGTTCCAGTACTAATAATATATTAATAACAGTCTTTAGAAATCCCGGCCAACCATGGACCCTGAGCAGCCAGTTGTAAGGCATGAAATCGGCCTTTTGAAGAAGGAATTCCAAAGACCTGTTGGGCTGCCTTGGAAGCCCTTTCCTGGGATAGAGAAGGGGTGGCTATCTTGAGAGTGGGGGTCATGAAAAGCTTAGAAAAAAGTCCAAGTCCTAGATATATTTGTTCTCAGGAAGCTTACTTGTTTATGCTTTTTACAATGGATACCCAATGACTGTCTTTGACCCAGAAACAAGGGTGAAGAATCAGAGAAAGAAGATTCTTTAAGGGATGGGGGAGGGGAGACTAAGGTTGTCTTTGACAAGTCTGACAGCAAATCCTGGAGCGGCAGGTCCACGCTGGGCAACCTGATGACAAGGTGGTTTCGAAACAACTGGGCCTTAGATGTGGAGAGGATGCTGTTACCTGAACTGGGTATCCTGTGGGGCTTGTGTCATTCAGTCCTGCCATGGTGTCCTGTTCCTTGTGCTGTACTAATGCTGATTTATAGAACACTAATTCCACAAATAGAGTATTCCCCACGTTCCTGCTATGTGCCAGACACTTGTAAGGCACTGGAGATGCAAGACAGCGTAAGATGTGGCTCTGTTCTCTAAGAATTTAATGTTTTGTTGCAGAGACAGATATGTAAACAGAAAATATGTAGGAAGTAAAATAGTAGAAGTACGTCTGCATATGTCCACAGGGTAGTGAATAGTTCCTTGTGTCTAGAATGAGGGTGGATGTTTGTTAAGAAGCCTTCCTGAAGGAGGTGGCACTTGGGATGAGTCTTAAAGGATAAGCGGGGGTTTGCCCGGTGAAGAAATGGAAGGTGGAAGAAGCAGGGGAAACTGTGAGCCCAGGCAGGGAGGTTAGGACAGTTTGGAGAGGGTAGTTTTTACTGGAGTCTGAAATGCGAAGCAGGAGGTGAGAGCAGAGAAGTTGGCATGGGATCAGAGGAAGGGATCTTTGTTTACCATGTGAAGAAGTTTAGGCTTTGGGGTAGCCCCTGAAGGGTGAGGAGGCCAGCTCTGGGCCAGAATCCTTGTGTGATCTTTCAGACCCAACCACAGGCAATTACAAGCTTTGCCCGGCAGGCCTCATAGGGGGAAGGTGCTCTCCCACACCAGACTGGTGCACAGCCAGAGCATTGCAGTTTTCTAGAGAAAATTGAGGTCCAGGACTCAGACCCCTCCCCTTCCCAATCCTTCGGACCCCTCCCTCTCCCATCCTTCTGGCCAGACTGGCCTTTAGCCCCAGGTGTCTCCATTTGGGGCCTCATTATCAGGGACGTGGCCTGAGGCACCTTCCAGGTGCTTTGCCAAAACTTCCTTATCACAGGTCTTTGGCTAAATGCTTTCTCTGCTTTAGCTCTGTACTTTTCTTCTCCTCGCCCTTCACCTGCTCTGTCCCCCCCACCATTCCACCGGTCCATAAAGAGGCAGGAGCCTTCTCTTCGCAGCTCCTTGGAATGAGATGATTCCCACGCCCACTGGCCCTGGCCTGGAGCTGTTCAGTGGCGGGGGATGGGAATGGAACATTGTGGGGCCTGTGCCTCTCTTTTTGCCTCTTGCTTGCACTGTCGCAGTTAGTGAATAAAGGCTTGGTTGTTACTTTTAGTTTGGCTCTCTGTCCTAAGTGACCACTTCAACACCTGATTGCTCAACTGCAGGGTTGTAGGCAGATAAGTGATGTGATCAGATTAGCACCTGAGGGCTCTTTTTGGTGGGTGAGAGACAAATTTGTGGGATCCAAGCACATGTAGACACCATTGTGTGGCCATTGTGCAATCTAGGGAAGTAAAGATAGCAAAGAGGGGGTTTTCTTTTTAATGCTTAGGAGGTGAAATTAACCGGGCTTGGTAATGATTAATTTGATTAATCCCTGATCTCTTCTTTTCCTTCCTTCCCATCTCACTCTACCCCAAATCTGATCTGATCACCATCTGAAGTAGGCAAGGATGAAGAGCAAATTTACAGGAGAAAATGAGTCTACTTTAACAAGTCGGATGCCCATCTTACCTGAGTCTTGAGTAGGCATCTGTAGGAATTTGCGCCCCTGGGGAGTGTTGTCAACATGTAGGTCATCTAAGGAGCATCCTAGGATAACACCAACATATAAAGGAAGAAGAAACTGAGCAGGAAAACACAAATGTCAAGGAGGTAGAATTCCAAAGAGGCAATGCCCTCATTTTTGTTTCAAATGTAAGAAAACTGACTTGTGGAATACAGTATTTTACAAAAATTTTCAGTAATGATATTTAGAATCTTGAAGAACTCTGCTAAATAGTATGCCATATCATAGCTGTACCTTGCAAATTGCCACGAGGAAAAAAATGCCTCTCAAGCCGTCACCCTACTTCTTTGTGCTAAAAGCATCAGTTTGAAATACCCAGTTCCTGGCAAGCAGTTCCTCCCTTGTACTCTTTTCAGTTGTATACTATTCCTAGAAATGGAACTGAACTGTTGCTTGATATCTTTTGCCCACTTTTCTATCACTTTTTTTTTAAAGGGTGATTTTGTCCTAGAGCTGGTTATTTCTTTTATTTATTTATGGCTATGTTGGGTCTTCGTTGCTGTGTGCGGGCTTTCTCTAGTTGTGGGGAGCGGGGGCTTCTCGTTGCGGTGGCTTCTCTTGTTGCAGAGCACGGACTCTAGGCACGCGGGCTTCAGTAGTTGTGGCACTTGGGCTTCAGTAGTTGTGGCTCACAGGCTCTAGAGCACAGGCTCAGTAGTTGTGGCGCATGGGCTTAGTTGCTCCGCAGCACGTGGGATCTTCCTGGACCAGGGCTCAAACCCATGTCCCCTGCATTGGCAGGCAGATTCTTAACCACTGAGCCACGAGGGAAGTCCTCTATCATGTTTTGAACTTTTATTCTTATTAATTTCTAGGTGCTCTCCTTATATAAAGGAGAAACAAATTGTACATTTTCCTGTTTGTCGTTTATCTTTGGAATTTCCCTATTTTGTTCTTTTAAATATCATCAGGTCAAATTTATCTTTTCTCTTTTGACTTCTGGATTTTAAGTTGTACCAAGGTCTCCCTTATACTCTTGTTACAAAGGAATTCACTTAAAGAAATTAAGACTGTTTTACAGAGCAGTTTTAGGATTACATAAAATTGAACAGATAGTACAGAGAATTCCTCCTTTCTCCTCTGTACTGTTTCCTCTGTTAACATTTTGCATTGGTGTGGTACATTTGTTACAATTGATGAATCAATACTCACACATTATTATTAACCGAAGTGCATAGTTTATGTTAGGGTTCACTCTGTGTTGTACAGTTCTGTGAGTTTTGACAAATGTATAATGACATGTATCCACCATTATAGTATCAAACAGAATAGTTTCACTGCCCTGAAAATACCCTGTGCTCCACCTATTCATCCTTCCCTTCCACTCCCCAACCACTGATCTTTTCACTGTCTCTATAGTTTTGCCTTTTTTGAGTGTCATATAGTTGGAATTGTAACCCAGAAAAAGAGCTCGTGTGTCAGTTTCACAGAAAGCCAAACTCTGACAGCAGGTGTTTGCAGCAAAGTAAGGGCAGCAAAGTAAGGGTTTACTGCAGGGTGCCAAGCAAGAGAGTGGGTGACTCAGATCCACTCCAACTTGGTCTTTGAGTTAGGGGGTTTTTAAAGGGAAAGAACAAAGGAGCTGGGATTAATCATTGTCTAGTGACATTTCTGTGACATTTCCTAATTGTAGTTTCAGGAGTCAGGATACCTATGGTTTACTAGCATTTGGTCTGGTGGTCCATGACCCTGGGGGGGTGTGTTAGCTCATCCTGCCCTGGAGAGGCAACTTGTGTCTGTACATTAACAATAAGTTATCAGCCACAGCAATTTTAGTACATTAATGCACTAAATGTTGTCGACAATAGCAGTTTTAGTCATCTGACTCTGGTTGATTACTGTTCAGTTAGCACAGGATTGAGGTCAGAGGGGACAAGAAAGGGAATAAAGTTTTGGAGAGAGAGCTTAATCATCACCTTGGCAGGGGGACTTGGTTTTAGTGGGGTCTCGTTTTCAGAATCATATAGCATGTAGCCTTTTCAGATTGGCTGCTGCCTCTAATTAGCAATATGTTTTTAAGGTTCCTCCATGTCTTTTCATGGTTTGATAGCTCATTTCTTTTTATTGCTGAATAATATTCCATTGTATGG